AATAAACAATAAACAAAATAGAAACAGACTCATAGATACAAAGAACAGATTGACAGCTGTCAGAGGGGAGGGGAGTTAAGAAGCTGGGTGAAAACGATGAAGGGATTAAGAAAAAAAAAGCCCGGCCAGTTGGCTCAGTTGGCTGGGTATCGCCCATGCACCAAAGGTTGCTGGTTCGATTTCCATCCAGGGCACATCCCTGGGTTGTGGGCTTGATCCTGGTAGGGGGTGTGCAGGAGGCAGCCAATCAATGCTCACATCAATGTTTCCTTCTCTCTCTCTCCCCCTCTCCCTTCCTCTTTCTCTAAAAATCAGTAAATATTTTTTAAAACATTGAATTGTACACCTGAAACCTATATAATTTTATTAACCAATGTCACTTCAATAAATTCAATAAAACATTTTAAATAAATAATAAAAGTGATAAGTAGCAAACTGTGGGATCACTTCATTTATTTCAGACAGATTCAAAACCTAACTTAAGTACTAAATAAGACTGTCCACACGCTTAATGTGTTTGTCATCTCTCTAGGCCTACTTGGGCCCATGAGTCCACTAACACAGAACAACTTCACTAAGGAAAAAAAAATATGTGAAGAATTACTTAAATATAGGGCACTTACGGTCCCAAGGGCCCAAGGAAGATGATATTCTCAAACACAACAAATAGTTGCATTGACAAACTATTTAATTTTTTTTTCTTTATTGATTTGAGAGAGAGAAGAAGGGAGAGGGAGAGAGAGATAGAAATATCAATGAGAGAGAACATTGACTGGCCGCCTTCTGCATGCCCCCCACTGGGGATTTGGTCCACAACCTAGGTATATGCCCTGACTGGGAATCGAACCAGTGACCTCTTGGTACGTGGGTCAATGTTCAACCACTGAGCCACCCCAGCCGGGCATGATTGACAAACTTTAAAATATGTATTATGGTCATAATAAAATTATGATGATAATGAATTATATTCCAAGCTTGACAAATGTACTAAATGTATTGAGGGTAAAAGGCGCAAAGGGTTGTTTGGCATTCCTTTTTAAAGGCTTTTAAAACTCTTTCAGTAATGTAATTTCAAATAAATGACAAGGACAGTGAGACAAAAATGCAGGCAGATACTCAACGTACTTTGCTCTTTGGCATCAATTAATTACTTTTTAATTTCCTGAACTGCCACCTATGCTCAAGAGCATTTAGTATCTATTAGAAAGAATATTGTTTCCTCCATTTTTCACCACCTGGCAAAGACACTTGTGAAAATCATGCTCAGGAACCTCACATTAATAAATTATCATTCCTACCATACTGATTAGAAATCATTTCCTTACCCTCACCTCAGCATTTCTAACCAGAGTATAATAATGCCATTCCTAAATGCAGTGGCCAGCAGAATCCACACAGACAACCGTCTGAACAGTGGCCAGAAAACGAGGGGGTTGTTCTCTACTTTGCTGCCACTGGGCTTTGGATAAGTCTGCATTACAGCCCTTTCCATACTACATGGCAATTATCCATTTTTATGCCTGGCTCTGATGCTGGTCTGTGAACTCCTTGACAGGTCAAGGACAGAGTTATATCTTATCTAGCTTTGCATCCCCTGTAATAAGCTCTTAGTAGAAACATAGTAGGTCCTCAATAAATATTTATTAAGTGTTTAAGAAACCCCATCACAGCTGGGCTGGTGTGGCTCAGTGGATTGAGCAGCATCCCATGGACTGAGAGGTCTCAGCTTGATTCCCAGTGAGGGCACATGCCCAAGTTTCCAGCTCCATCCCCAGTAGGGGGCATGCAGGAGGCAGGCAACAGGTTTCTCTCTCACATCAATGTTTCTCTCTTTCCCTTCCTCTAAAAAAAAAAAAAAAAAAAAAATCAATAAAAACATATTTTAAAAAAAGATCCCTGGTGTTGTTCAATGGACTGAGTGTCATCCTATGGACTGAGAGGTCCTGGGTCAATTCTGGGTCAGGGCATACACCCAGGTTACAGGCGCAATCCTCAATAGGGACTTACAGGAGGCAGCCAACTGATGATTCTCTCTCACATCGATGTTTCTATCTCTCTCTCCCTCTAAAAAAAAATCAATAAAAACATATTTTAAAAAATTAAAAATAAATAAAAAGAAACCCCATCTCAGTAATATCTTTAGAAGAGATTCCACATTTCAGATGTACTTGAACCTAGATATGTATTCATGAGTAATAGTTCTATCACTGTATCAAATAGACATGAACTGACTTAAAAGAGTTTGGGGTCAGCAACTGACTTACATTGACACAAAGAGCTAAGGCCAGAAAATAGGAGATGCTTTGGCATATACTACTATTCTTTTTCTCAGTAAATTTACTATGCTAATTCTATGCAACTGAAATTTTGTTACAAAACACTTCACATTTTATAAGGAACTCAACTGAGCAATTACTTCCTCCTACTTTTAGTGACCTTGTATAGAAAGCCTTCCTTCTGAAAACATAACAATTAGTTGGAACTGGAATCTCAGTTGACCATTTTAAATTCTAGAGGCAGGGAAAACTACACACTTACTGGACAGCTTCATACCCCCTGTAAAATAAGTTATTTTACTGTGTGTGTAGGTGAGACAGACTGAACTTAAATTTATGCTCCTAAGATCTGCCCTTGAAGAGGCTTCATTAAAAAAAAAAAAGCTAACTAAACACTTAACCCTGCCTTTTATATAACCAGTTAAACCTGAAATTACGATGTTCTGTTATTCACAAGCTAAACTCGTACTATTGCAGTTATTTTACAAAACAGTTAGGTAATGTGTCAAGGGATTCACTTTTGTTTTGGACTAATAATAAAGTTCCTGATGTAATCACTAGGACAATGTTGAGATTGTGAACCACTTCCTTCACCACTGACACAGAAAGAAGATAAACACATGTGGGCTTCTGCATTAAACAATTCGATAAGTATATTTCCAGTTAGTAATTATCAATGCCTTGTATTAATGTGTAATAGAATAGTAACAAACGTACTAAACTCTTTTATAGTGATTTATAGAACCCCTCCACAAAGCCCACGAATGCATTCATAAGCAAACAGAACAATTTTCATCATTGACAACTAATGAAGACAAATGGAGTAAAACCATACAATGCACCTTTGCCAACACCCACACCCACATTCCACTAAGTAGAGGCTTGACAGAATAGATCTTATTGTAAGTCAAGTTTCTCAAATGCAGAGGCTAAACCCAAATCCACAAAAGAGTTAATAAAATAAACAACGGAAGAAACTTAACTATCAGATACCCTATTTTACCATAACCTATAGTGAAATAATTAAAAGTGGATAAAACTTATGTTAACAATCACTTAGAGACCAAAATTATGCACATTTTTAATGTTTCAAAAACAGTTACTTTACATTAACTATAGCTCACCACTTCCTTACATAAATCTTTTTCATCTGATGTTCTGTACAAATTCTGACCACTCAAAGAAGCGGGTGGAGTGGGAGGAGCAGCTCCCTGACAGAATCTGACCCATTTTTTTGCCCACTCATATTACAGATAAATTAGAGAAAAACCTTGCATTCCTTCTCTTATGCCCAAATCATGATTTAGGCAATGAGTGACCTTCAATTGCATACTGTTTAGAAAAGCAAAGACAACTACTATTGTGCCTGCCAAATACATGCAAGTTTTCTAACTGCATAGTCCTCATTCTTAAGTATCCAATGCTAATATCAAAACCTGACCTCAAACAGCAAGTTGCAGTTCTAACACTATGACATCACTCTGTCTGGTGCACTTTAATATGACAATTTGAATAAATTGGCAGAAGCTTAAATAGGTCACACTGAAGCCCAAAACTAAGGATATTTATCTGGCAAAAATATTCTGGCTCTGCATTTAGCACCACCAGCCACAGAATAACAGGCCTATCATTCATCTAACCATCTGTACTTTCCATAAGGATAAATGAAAATAAAGGAAATCTTATCACCTTCCTGTGTTTGCTAATACCACTGACAGTGGCTTTTTGTGGTAAATATTTGCACATAGTTACAAACCAAAGTAAAGGTGGCTGATACCATTTGATTTCATGGAGGCTTTAGCATACCCCTACAAAGGAATACTTTTTAAACCTTCATTTCCACAATTATAAAGATATCAAGAACACTGAATCAAGTCAATTTATAATTAGCCCCAAATATCTATAAAATAAAACTATAAGGTGCTCAGACATTTACAATACATTAGGGGACAGTACTACCGCTTCAAAAGCAAAAACTGTTAATACTGGTTCTGACATCTAGCTTGGTTTCTTCTTGTGAAACTGTAGTTCATCTGAAAGCAACATGCAGAAACCACAGTGGTTTCTGATACTCAGCCCCACACCTCCATCATAAATTTTCCTTTCACGATAAACAATGTGCAATCAGAAAGGTTTCCTGTTTCAAAATGGAATAGATGAAAGAAACTGTAACTCTACCATTAACAACAACAAAAAAGTTTCTTAATGAAGATGAATTCTCAGAGATAAAAATGGAACTCTCTCAAATACTGCGTCCTTAAGGACTAATCTGCTTTTTTCCCTGTAAATATTCTCAGCATCACACATTGTGGTTGTCATGAATGGTCCATCAAAGACTTCTTAAATTACTTGTTTGCACTCTTTTGTTGTCCAATAGCAGCACAACTTCACATCAAATAGAATAAACACTTCCAAAATATTCTATGGCCAGGGACCGACAAAGAGCAGCCAACAGTAAAAACTTTGCATATCTGAGTCATATAGAGGAACTTTGAACCTTGAAGACTAGGACAAAAGATTGAAAAAAAAAAAAAAAGTCTTTGCTCTCAATCCAACTTTTCAAAACACAGAGTGGACATAAGAAAAATTAAAATGACCAATCCAAATTTTAAAATTTTTGCCATAACAATAATCACTATGAATTAGCAGTATGAATAAAACTGAAGAAACCATATCCAGGGTGAACAGGTCAAAGAAGTACAGGCACAGTCAGACAGAACTTACCACTTTGTCCATGAGTTTCCAAGTTTTCTCCACAGTTCTTCGATCTGCTGCTGCTTGCTTAGGGGGTCCAACTGCATCCTGAATAGCATCAATAATACCCAAAATCCTTCCTTTTCGGGGATTTCCTCCTCGACCACCAGGATTTCTGCCATTCATAGAATTTGCCATCTGGAATCTCAGTTCTTTGAGAGGGAAAATTTTTAAAAAGGAAAAGTTAGTTGGTCATGAAAATACCCAACAGAAAACTGACCTGTTTAACAACTTGCGCCCACTACATCCTCCTCCATCAATGAGAACAAAATCCAGGGTCCCAGATTCAACTTTTCAATAGCATGTGAATTTGCACCCTCAATTTCTACATACAACAGGTTTAAGAGCAATAACCTTAGATTTGCTTTTGGGACACTAAGAGTTAAAGATGCATCCTTCTCACATTTCAAGTAGGGAAGGCTTGATTAATACCCAAGTCACAACAACAACAACAAAAAACTTACATAGGTTTCCTCCAATTAGTTAAGAACATAATGTTCTCCCCCTCCCTGCCTTAATTCCAATTCAAAATGCTAGAACTGAAGCCCCCGGAAACACTTTTGAGAGCCTCATTCCCAATCTGTCCTTTCACTCAGTTAGATTTCGCCAAGTTATATAAAAGTGCAAAAATTTTTCTACAGAAGCATAAGGGGCAAGCACGACTGTGTCAACAAAGACTCAGGACTTGGCTATCCCCCGCTAAAACCATCCAGTACGGACACCTGAACTTGGATACACGCGCACACAATTCTTTAAACCAACGCGGTGAAGAGTTTTCCCCAAGTTCAGAGCCCAGAACAACAACTACAAAAGATTTTTTTAAATGCATTTTAAAAGAGAGAATGAGAAACTGACAAGAGCGGGCACAGAAAGAGTTCACTTCTTTCGCTCCTTGCCTCTCATCTCATACAAGCGGGGGGAGGGAGGGGTCGGTCCAAAGCTTTGTTTCGGGACGCCCGTGCCCCCTTCCTGCTCAGGCCCCTCCCCTGTCACTTTCGGACCTCCGCTGGGGAAGGAGGGTGGACAGAGAAAGGACAAAGTATCCCCTCGCGCCTCCAGCGCCCACAGCACCATCCGTCCAGGGCGCCCCGAACCCAGCTCCCCAGTGGACGCACCTCCCCGGGCTGTCGGCGATCCCAGTGGCCCGTCTCGCTTTACTCCCTCTTCCACCTCCCCGGCCCGGCCCGGTTCCCCTCTTCAAATTGTGACTGCGGCGGCGACGACAGCTGGAAGCCGGGGCTGTCCCCTCTTCCTCAGTGGCCCGCGCCTGGCTGCCCCTGGGCCCTCTGGGCGGAAAGAAACGTCGAGCCTCCCCGGTGCCCCCTTCCCTCCTGGCCTCTCGGCGCCGTATCTGCCCAGAGACACGCGTGTGCGCGAGTCCGACTCCACACGCAGGAGCCCACGCTGTGTGGTAGTCCGGGCAGGGAGCAACTGCCGTAAACGCAAGCTCCGAGGAAGGAGCGACCCAGAGCGTAAGCCACCGAGACGGGGAGACGCAACAATTACCGTCAAGACCAATCCACACCCGCTCTCCCCTCCCGCCCGACTCTCGGGGAGGCCGGCGACGCCGCCGCAGCTCTGGCTGCAGGAGGAGACCACTCGCTACGCTGGACACTCCACCCCTGTAGGATACACACAGAGACCCGGGCGCGGGGCGGGGCCGGGGCGGGGCGTCGCCGGGGCGGACCAATCGCCTACGCCTTTACACTGCCAGACAGCGGGAGGCGCCAATGGGCGGGAGGTGCCCGTCCTCCCACTACCACCCGGTCCACGTCTTCCACGATACACAATGGCCCCAAAGGGAGGAATGCTGGACGCACGGCCCAAATGAAAAGGGACTCCTGGTAAATTGGGGAGACAGGGCTTCCCCGAGAACAAAAGTGGAAAAGGGAAAGGAAATGGAAAGGCACTAGGGAGCTGACCAATAAGGAGTGGGCGGGTGAGCGTTGGGAGCTGGGGCCAAAGCCAACTGGGGCTAAAAGGCGGGACTTCCTGCTTTGCTCACCTTCCTAGTCTTTTGTTTCATAGCAACAGAGTAGTGGCTGAGAAGGTGTTGCTTCTCTACCCTGGGCGTGTCCCAGGCAAAGAATTTCGTCTCCCTGGGGCTGCCAAACTCTCCTACCCAGGACAGCAGCCAAGTAGGTCTATGGCATTGCTTCTTACTGGCTATCAAAAACAATCAGCCGTCACCCAGCTTCGAAGATGAGGTATAGACCTCACATAGAGTAGACTAAGGGTGACACCTGATTGCCAAACTAAACTTCCTAAATGTCTGAGTGATTCCCTGTTACATTTAGAGAGATTGCAGATCAAATATCAGACTGATGAGAAAGCAACTGGTTAACTACACTGGCCAAACAGTCTCCACTAATCATGCCAAAGCAGTGAAACAGATGATGGAATTGCTAATATATGCATTGCCTCTTTTATTTAGTAGAAGTTTCTGCATAAATGACTGAAGAAGTAACAGCTTTTTCATTTCGTCCGAATCACCTTTACATAGATTTATTTCCATCTTAAAAACAACCTGTCAAAGTTCAGAAATAGCCAAAGTAAAATCAGTGAGTTTATTGTGCACACCCCAAAAAGACAGTTTGCAAAACGGGAACACTCAAACCAAAACATGGAATGAGGCTTGGGGTATACCGTTACAAAGCAGCTTATATAGTGAGAAAGCAGTGTCTTTACAGTGATTGGTAATTAAGCTAAGTTAATGACTAAACTGATTTTGTCTGCTCAGGGAAGCTTCAAAGCTGGTCTCCATTTGCTTTTGATTTTAACAAACCTTATTGTATTTGCCATTCTCTCCCAGCATTTGTATTCTCTCTTTCTGTAGCTCTGTATACCATTAGAAAGGCCCACATCTGGCTAATCTTACAAGGAAAATGCTGCTGGGCCGGGGCTCTTCTTTCAACAAGATTATAGTTTAAACACATGCCTTCTATTTTTTTTTTTTTTTCTCGTCTATTTAACTTCAGTCCTACCACAGGTGCTACTAAAAATTACTCTAGATTGTCATGCTTTGGAATTTTCTTTCCACTACAATTGGTAGTCTTAAATAAACTTTACATGGTGGGCTTCTCAGATGTTATTGTGTGTGAGTGTGTGTGTGTATTCTCTCCCTAACTGGCTAACTAATAAAATGTTTCTCAGTGATTCCAACCACTTTCTACCAAAACACACATTTTAGCACTGTGATTATTAGTTAAGGATCCCGAGTTCTTACAAATATACTTTACAGCCCTAAATTCAGATGGTTAAGATTTTAATTTGATTAGAAGAGGCAAAATGTATTCTTTGCAACTAGTAAGGTGATAAAATATGGTTCAGGAGGTAATTTTGTTTCTTTGCCATTATTTCTGTGCCAATAATGACAGTAGTTTCTTGTTTTCACATTGTGTTTATCTACAAAAGTGCTGGCTTCTCCATACATATCTCCTCTACCCATACATATCTCCTTTACTCACAGTGACAGAAACTGCATTTACTAAGGGAAGACTGCAAAAGGAAAAAAAAAAAAAAAAAAAAAAAAACCTTACTGGGTCACCTTTTAAATAAATCCAAAAAAATATATAAACTGTATATAGAAAGTTTTCAGCATGTATAAAAACAGTGGTTTAAAGGAGTATCATAAGAACATTACTCATATTTGTAGCTAGATAAATGTAGAAGAAGTAAAATACATGTGATAGCATATGCCATTCCTTTTATATTGTTTTTGCAACTTAAATAAATAAAAATTAAAAGTTTTATGGGATATGGTAATACATATATGTGCTTATATACACATATAAAACACACACATGATATCAAGAAATTATAGCTTTATTCTCAACTAGCTGTTTTATCAAAGCCATCTAGAGTCCAAGTTAAGTTCTGGTGTAGCAGGCTTTCCATTTGAGCCCAAGGTAAGATTTGCTTATGTCTGATGAACTAATGAGGCAGTAGTCCTCCCTGTAAACTATTAGCATGAGTTGACCCATAAGGGAGAATGAAGAACTATTGAGATGGAACTTCATACCCCAGGTGGTACTACAATGAAGACACAAGGGATAGAATATAATAAAGGAATGTATACCAAGGGGTGATAAAGAACAAACAAATGTTTTCGTTGGAGACTTTGTGATACTCAGAGAATAAGCAGTAGTACATCAAGGTGACAAAGATAGTTGAGAAAACACTCTACTAATTTCTAAACAGAATAAGTCAATCTCCAACACTGTGGTTTAGCATGAAAGTAGCCTCCTTTGGCAGCATAGTGATTTGTAACCTAGAGTGAACTTGGATTTGGCACTTTTACAGAAGAGGAGTGCTCTCCTGGAAGATCCTTGCATGAGGCAGAATGGTAAGATAGCTACCTAAGATCTTGCAAGCACCATAGCAGCCAGTGATTAATATGAACAAACTGATCATAAACACATATAAGACCCTTCCCCCAGGACTCCCAGAAAAGATTGGGAGACTTTGTGGCAGGGGTACTGAGAAATTATGTAATGGTAGCTAAAAGTCCTTGGAATTTGAGCATTAATACTTGATATTAATATTTTTATTCATAGGCTGGTGCCATCTGGGAAAATACAGACTATAGTTTTGTCTTTAAACACAGGAAAACATTTTTTAAAGAACACAATTATTTGGGGCAAATATTTAGACTATTTTCATTCAGTTCAATTTTTCTTTTCTTTTTTTCTACTTTCTCCAAACTCACAGATGACCCACGTGATATTGAACATGAGTTGACTAAATGGCAAAGCATTCCAATAATTTCTCTGATAAAAAAAATGGTTAGTGCCTTGGCCAGTTTGGCTTAGCTGTTGGAGCATCGGCCTGCAGTCCAGAGAGACCCGGGTTCGGTTCCCACTAAGGGAACGTACCTCGGTTGCAGTTTGTCCCCGACCCTGGTTGATCGTGCGGGTAGCAGCCACTAGGTCTGTCCCTTTCACGTCGATGTTTCTCTCTCTCTCTCTCTCTCTCTCTCTTCCTCTCTCTCCTTCCCACTCTATCTGAACAAAAAATGGAAAAAATATCCTCGGGTGAGGATAAAAAAAAAATAGCTAGTCAAAAAAAAATAATTGTTGAATGAATAAACTGACTTTTTAAAGGTATTGCCTAGGAATTATAAAGCTATCTCTGTTTCTGTCCAAATTCACAAACTAGTCATAATTGGGTTTAACAAGTCATTCCATGTCAAGAGGAATACATTTCCTTCTTTCTTTTTATTATTACTTTTTTGTTGTTGTTGTTAATTCTTACCTGAGGATACTTTTTCCGTTGATTTTTAGAGAGAGTGCAAAGGAAGGTGGGGAGGAGGAGAGAGAGAAAGAAACATGGATGTGAGAGAGACACATTGATTTGATGGCTCCCACATGAGCCCCTTCCAGGGCTGGGATCAAACCTGCCTTTGACAGGAGTTTAACCTGGACCCTTCAGTGTGTGGGCTGATGCTCTAACCACTTAGCAACACCAGCCAGGGCAAGAGAAATACCTTTCCAACTATCCTTAACAACATGTACTAATAGCTGGCAATGAAGATGTTGATCTATGGATACATGAGATATAACCACACTCTGTATTAGGTAGGGCTCAACTGGAATTCTTGCTTAACAATAACAGCAATACAAAAATAACAATGGCTTCAACAAGATAGAACCTTATCCTTCTCACACATAGGAAAAGTCTGAAGGTAGAAACTACTAGCAGGAATGGTGGCTCCATAATTTTCTCAAGGACCCAAGTTTCTATCCTTCTCCTGTATCATCCCAGCACCTGGATTTCTACCCTCAGAATCGCCTTATGTTCCATAATGGCTATTGGTGCTTCAGCTATCACCACTGATTTTCGAGCTAAAAGCTAAGCGGAAAGGTGGAAGGGTTTGTTGAACTTCCAGCTGAGTCAATTTTCTTTAAGTAATTTTCAGAAAACTCTTACAAATATTTATCCTTAATACCTGAAAGCTCAAACTCAGTTCCATGGCCAAACTTGGCTGAAAAAAACGCGTGGAAGACAATGTGCTTTCTTTAATGGGAAGCAATATAACCAGCTAAAAATACGGGTTTTGTTTCTAACAAGAAAGGGGGGAGTAGATGTTTGGCAACAAACTAGCAAATCCTACCACAAAGATCTTTTTCTAAGAATTAAACTTATGATTAGTAAATCAGTTAATATTATATATATATATCATATATTCACTGCTAAGGTGATATATATATATAACCTTAGCAGATACTAGCATGTGCTACATATATATGCTAAAGTTTGTCATATGTAAGTCATATATATTCACTGCTAAGGTATATATATATGCTAAAGTTTATCATATGTAAGTATGTGTAGTACATTATATACAATTATATACAATTTTCATTACAGCATGTGGGTTCAGTAATCCTGAACAATTAAATAATATCACAGGATGTAAAATGGGCAAAATTAAGTAAGCAACTGCTTTAATACATTCCACCCAAAAGTTTATATCAGATTA